GAGGAAACCCATGCAAACACAGGGAGAACATGCAAACTCCATGCAGATAGTGACCTGGCCTGGGGATTCTAACCAGGGACCCCCAGTGCTGCAAGGCAGAAGCTAAACACTACGCTGAAATGGATCAGAACCACAACTGGGTTCACACAAGATATCTGCTGTTGTTCCTAATTATGTTGTATACGGTGCACCGGAAGCATCAAACACAGACACAGGGACCAGGTCTATGACGCTTCTGTTTATTACGGTAAGGCACGAAGGTTTATATAGACAAGCAGCTAGTGCTGTGTGCCAAGGTCATGTGAGCGTAGCGTTATAAGCTTCTGATTTATATATATATATATTAAAACAAATGGTCATTTTACTTGATTTCCATTACAACGCCACTGTGCTGCCCACTTTATTTTCTCTATATACCCAGCATGCAAAAAGGTGTATTCACACAATTTAGCCAGCTTGGAGCTTGAAGTTGAGAGTTGTGCACCACACCCAGGTTTGGAGGCTCTCCGCATGTACAGAACTAATTTTAACAGTCCACTAGAATTATCTGAATGCATCTTTTGGGGGTGACATTTTAGTGGTTTGCCATGCCAGGTTCACTTTAATGCACAGTAGTCAATTTTGTGGAAATGTCTAGAGTACTAAGAAGTCTGCCAACCTATGGGCAATCCTTCTTTGCATGCACTGCCAAATCTAACAGTATAATATAAGAAAGGAAGTGGTCTGTCCCACCAAAAACAGAGCAACAGCTAATGCTCAATCTGGAAAACAGTGATAAACTACACCTGTAAATGCTTCCAAATACGAATTACCCTCTCTCTAGAGGTTGGAGGAGGATAGAGGAACAATTAACCTGAGACACAGCAGTAAAGTAACCATGCTTTCTGTTAAAACACATGATCAGCCTCTTCTAAGTCATAACAAATTATCTCTGACTTTGACTGGACACTGTCAGTTTCTTTCTGGGAGACGGTGAGATTGTGTTATGAATATGGATTAACACTGCAATGTATTATTTAATCTCCAGAATATGTTTAACTACCAGATCAATGTCATTATGAAATGGCTGCATTATTTAATTTCTCAAATAAATAACGCGTTCCAGATTTATATGTTATGGTGTGCATGGGCACCAGACATATTTAGTGTATTGACTGGCACAACAATGCCTGTAAGATTATAATCACTACATTTATAACTGGATCAACACAAGGGACTGCAAGGACACACAGAACACAACAGTTTTCTATGTGTAATGTTCACACCAAAGCGTGGGTGTGATGTGCAGTGTGGAAAAATGCAGCATGTCAGCATACTGGATGGAAGCGGAGGCCAATGCACAACTCTCCTATGTGCACAGCACATAGAAAATGGAGTGGACACATGCAGTCTGCCCAGACACACATAAAATCAGCACAGACAAAAACAGCCATTCCACACAAAATGAGGGCAGACAAACACAGTCAAGGCAGACACAAACACACACTCACTCTAAAGGCAGAAACAGACAGCAAGGGCATGCACACATCAGGGTAGACATGACGTCAGTGCAGCCAAACACCACACACATACAGACCACACACAAATCACCAAACACACATACAACACGGTAGGAGCACACAAATACTTTACAATGCTAACTATTAATGCTGTGTTAAATACTTTCAGAAGACCATGATGGCATCTTGGTGGGATTTCTATACTGCTCTTAGAAAAACACTGACATTCTTGTTCCACATAATTCATTGATGTGCACATGTGGGAGATTTTCCTGTGGTGTGTCAGCAATGTGACAGCTGGGGTCGATTGGATTGGATAGTGACTTGGATGGTGCACAAGTCCAATGTGCTCAGCAACAATCAGCAGACAAGAACAACCCTCTGGCATCTGTGGTATTAATCCTTTACACATATGGGTCACTATAAAAGTCTTTAATAACACGGTGACATATAGCCCATGTAAATATTAGGAAAACACTGGTTATACAATGTAACAACGTGTAAAGGGCTTCAGGAATGCAGTGCCATATAAAACACAGATATATGGTACCATGCACATGGAGGTTCAATAACATAGAGAGAGACAATGGATGCTACACTCTTCGATAAGTCATGTACTAACATGGCCATAATAATGAAGACCAAAGGGTAATGCTAACCTATTTTTCTGTGTATCTGCTAACATTCTACAAGTTTGTAACATCCATTTGACTCCATACCATATAGCTGCGTGGCTTTGGCGCAGCCTTACTAAAAACATCCTTTACACTGAAGTATTGTAAACCACCATGTAAGACACGTAACTAATGACACTTACACTTAAATGAAAGTGTCTGCTACCCCCAATTCAAAATCACATATACAGTACATAGGTGTGTTTTCATTCTCATTTATCTTTTTTATTCTAGCCTTTTCTTTTTGGAGTACTGAATTTTCTCCTAAATACCTGGTGATCTTGCCAGTTCCCTTTTGTACCTGTTACATTCTGACCATGCCATGCATGGAAGCAGATCCTGGCATGGTCAGTTTGCATTTCTGCCCTTCCTCTTTGGAGATAAAAGATGACGTGTCTATGTAGTTGTCAGTTAACCTCTCATATCCCATGCCCAGGCCTGAGCTGATAGGCAGTGAGACTCGAGGCAGAAGCCTTACTGTCAATCTGCAGCTGTTCATAACTAGTATACGGACTGGGAAAGTACTTCCCTGCTGTGTGTGATGTCAGCCCACTTACTTTACACACTCCCCCCGCTATGTTTTTGTGTTGTGCAGCAATTTTCTCACAAATAGTTTAACCACTTCAGGACCAGAGCGGACCCATTTTTTCATTTTTCACACGCTAAAATCTGAATTTGTGGATAGAAAATTACTTAAAAGCAGAGGTCCTGTAGAATACAAAAAGGTAGCTGCAATTTTTTTTCATGCAGCACGGTATTTGCACAAATGTTTGTCAATATTTATTTGCAAAACGCACTAGAAATTAATAATCTAGTAACCAATTTTTTGGGATGTATAAAAGATGGGGTCACGTAGAGTAAAAAAAGATACCAAACATGTCGAGCTTTAAAATTGTGTGCGCCCATACAATGGTGATAAACTATAGTGCTCAAATTTTCCATAGGTGGCACTTTTAAAAGGCTTTATCACTCATTGTAGCGTTCCTACCTCTCCTCCAGCTTCCGGCAACACGAGCAGCTCCGTCGGAGCTCGGGTGACGTCACGAACGGAGACATCACCGGACTCCTCACCCTTTTCCTATTTAAACCGCCGGAGTCATTTGCCTGGCGTTCAGTCTCTCCACAGCCCTGCCCTCGGTCAGCCCACTCTGCAGGAAGATCTCCTCCCCTGAACTAGCTCTACAGAGGAGACCTGCAATTCTCTCCGGACGCCACTGGGTGGCAGCAACACACCTAAGACCCTCTCACCGCAAGTATCCTTACATTACTACAACTGTTAATTCTGTGAACTGTCAATACATCTAAGTTAAACTCAGATGCTCCCATTCTAGACTGTGTATTACCAACCTAAATAAAACAACTTGCTCCCTAATTGATCTGGGTCTTCCTATCTGATACCTGTCGGAGTTAAAGAGAACTGTTATACCTGAAATCACATATACATAGGCATCCGAAGCTAAGATCCACACCAGCCACTATAGCAACACACCTGAAGCATTACACTCATCAGTTTAGAGTTAACAGCAAGTGATGGCCCTAGAATTATTGCTCTGACTCCGACATTTGCGGAGATATAGAACATGTGTGGTGCAATCTCTGTATACAAATGTTTTACGTTTTTATTAATATTATTCTTTACTTTTTTAACACTTTTCCCCCTTTTTTCACTTAACTTTATTGCTTCCACAAGTGGCCGTACAATCCTCTATGTGATAATATTGGCAGGTGACAGGTTCTCTTTATGGAGACATCAGGGATCTATTTGATGCCTGCAGACTATCAAGCACAGTATTCAGCCAGGCTTGTGACAGCTCTGAAGTGCTTTGAGCATAGTGCTTCCTGCTTCATTGATCATAATGCAGATCAGGGAATGGACATTCCTTTATCTTCTCCCGCTCGCCATCCTGACACCTTTTGCTGTGGCCCCAGGAAACCATTGGAAATGTTTAATTCTAAATATGTTCTTTATATATTATGTTGAGTAGGAAAAAATACATATAGTTTACATGCTTGTTGTCACGATTAGGGCACTGGAGCACCAGGAATAGTAAACTCCGGGTGTTGCGGAGCAGTATATTGTGACTAAATAGCAAATGTGCACCAGAGTCACTGATGGTGTGGATGTTGAGCTGCGGGGCAGCTCCCAGGTTGCAGCTCTCTGATAGACCCATGCAGGCAGAACTACATCTCCCAAGAGTCCTTCCCTACACACAGTATTTGGGTAGACTCTTGGAAGTTAATGCAACAGCATTGTTTTGCAGGAAATTACATCAATGTGTGCATGTGGAGAGAGACAGAGAGGTGTGGGTATATTTGTAGTTCTGTAGTCCAGTAGGTGTTGCCAACCCAAATGGGATTTTTTTTTAGCTTTTTAAAGAGTATAAAGCATCTGAAAATGTTCATGTATTTCAGAGATGTACTAAATATGTTGTTTTTTTATTTTTAATTTCAACAATAGAGTTCTCCTTGGCAAATCCAGCAGTATTTTCAAGGCAAAAGGGCTATGTAAGTGTTTTTAGCACCGCCTTTTAGACCATCTCCAGTGATCAATATAGAGAAGGAGAGAGAAACTACTAGGACAGAGGTTTCCATCTGCTCAGCAGTGTAGGCAGTACAGTTGGTCTTTGAATAGGAAACAGAAGACAATGGGGTGCTACTGATTGGGTTTTAAACTGTTTCCCCTTATCCTTTCAGGTAAGAGACAAACATGCTCATTGCAAATGTAGCCAGGAAGGCACAAAAAAAATATTGTTATTTTCAATAACATCAATAAAAACAAACTAATCTGAACATTGTGACTTTACTCAGGATACAAACAAATACTTACTGGCAGGTCAGCGTAGAAGTAGTGCTTTCGATCAAATAGAGATTTCTTGTTTATAGTGCAGTTCAACGCTAGCCCAGTCATCACTGCTGCTTCAATGCATCTCTTGTTGAGTGCCTAAAATAAACACAAACATACTAATGAAATATGTGCAAGAAGCATGTTACTCTAACTAAAGGCAAGAGTGGAGCCAAATTAGCAGTAATGCTGTGCTTGATGTGGGAGTCACATCCTGAGAATAAAGACACCAAGAATTCCTTTAGGGAGTGTAAAGCCAGTCAGACACCAGATCACAAAGCTACTCTTATAATCAATGGGAAAGTCACTGACACAGACCAATTCCACAGAACAAAAATTATTCATTACAACTGCTTTTTACAATTACTAAAGTACAATTTATTTATCACTGCTATTTTAGGGATTTATACAGAATTTGTTATTGTCATCTAATGAAAAAAAAAATAACTAGGTTTTCATAAATTTAGTAAAAAATCCGTACAATCTAGAAACAATCACCAATAAATCACTAGCTTGACCTGTTCAACATATTACAGAAAATATAATAGCTAACCCTGAAGAAGCAAGCAGATAAGGGCTTTGGACTTTTCTCCAACTTTTTTGATTTGAATACTTGTTTCAGGTTGGAGACTTTCAGTATTGGAGCCGATTGGTTACCATATCTTTCAGGCATCTAAGGTTTTCATAATGAGGTTAACAATAGCTGCCTCCTTGTTTACCTTAGGGGCCCATTCACCTATACGCATGCATTGCAGAGCAAGTCACAATGCACTACTTGAAATGCATCTTCATGCAGTAAACTGGTGTGAATAGACCCCAAAGGTCTGTGCTTGTCTATTCATGTCCCAGAATACATAGATGTAAAAAAGTAGATGATTCAAGTGATCAAAAAAACATAAAAGTACTCATGAAACATAATAAAAATGTTCCTGGAAACTAATGGTCTCCATTAAATTAATAAACATTAAATAAGTTGCCTTCCTTCTGGCACAAAATGTTAACCCCCCCAAGAAGAAAGCAGATAATGTCCTCTGTATGCTGCTGGCTGTAGATAACAAAGTACTGGAACTTAGAATTGAGTGCCAGATTAATTGCCTGTATTCGGTCCATGTACCAATGTACCCCTAAGCAATAAATGGTCTAGCAAGATAGAGCACGTACACATTTTATTTATATACCAAGAAGAAAGCCTACATAACACCTGCATAAGTGACCCACTGACTTCAGTTGCTAAGAACTTTCAATCCAATGCCAGAAATGCCACCTACTACACAGGGACCAGTCAGTGCAGGCACATCTGCAATGCTAAATTAGCAAAACCCTCTACCTGGAAAAGCTGCCATCGAGGGACCCAGATAATGGACTTAGATAGACATATCATGCTTCACAAGGTAAGAAAAACAATGCAGTATGGGTTAGAGGGGGGTACACGTTTTACCCAGAGCTGGGCTTTAATTAAACACCTCAGCCACACTTCACAGTCATAAAAATCATTCAGCAAATTCCTGCTTTAACTCTATTGCTTCCAGGATAACATCCTTGTTAACTGGACAGTGTGTAAAAAATCGCTGAACCAATAAATAAGCATGGCACTTGCACAACTCTGCAGTGTAGAAGAGATTTGTAAGTCAAAAGAATTGCTGTACAGAATTAAAAAAAGTGTAAAAATCCTCATTGGTTGTTCACTACCACCATGGCAAAGAATTACATTTAAAGTGATATTAAAGTCAAAGGGTGTTTAAGCTTTCTCGAATGCTGATTAATTTACTTACTGTATAATGGATGCTCCTCCTTGATATTGGAAAGTTTTCTTTTCCTGCAGAATTAGCTGGTCCCCTGAGCAAAGGTCCTGATATTGTGTTTTAGGTTGACACCTTTCCTTTGCTGGGTTCTGTGGAGCCACTCTTGAGTGAGGCAGTAAGGTGTGTGTGTCTCCAGAAACACACAGGCACAGCAAGGCATGCTGTTCTGCCTGAGACCCCATTCACACTAAACGTTTTGTAGCGCGATTTCCACTCAAAAATCGCTCCAACATGAAGCTCAATGTAGCTCTTCCAATGCATTTCAATGGAGATGTTCACATCTTGCAGCTCAATGTTGCCTGTAGCTGAAGCTTGTCGCTCAAACATGAGCTATTTTTCGGCGGATTTCGAGCGATTTGGCCCCAATAGACTTTGACAAGACTGCCAAAAGAAGCACTACGTAGCACGATGCTCAATGTCGCTCAAAGTCGATCAGCTCAAATCAACGCTGAAAAAGCTTGTAGCTCAGTGTGAATGGAATCTTACAGGCATTAGATTTATTGCCTTGCCTACCTGCCTTCTCAAAATTGGCCACAAGATGGTGCTTGGAGAAAATATCTCTATTTACAGTGATCTTAGACTACCTTTCCTTAAAACAAAGTTCCCAGCAGCCCAAGAAGAGGGGAACACGTGCATCATGTGAACTCAGACTCCATCTTGGAACCGAAGACAGTAGGGTCTAGTGCCATCCTGAGCACGTTTGGAGTAAATGCCCAGATTTCCCATACGGCAGCATCGCTGGTAGCGATGGACTTGTTTATCTTTATATTTGTGAGCTATCACTCCATTTACATGTTTATATATTGATTGTATGTTTTCATGTTCTTTTTTACTAGTTTCACCGCCCTGTTTTGTTAATAAAGCTTCAAGATTTCATCCAGTCTGGCTTATTGCAGATCAGAAGGGTTTAGCTGCATATCGAGCTATACAGACCACAGGGTAACGTGTAGCGGGGACAGAACACATGCCACCCCCCTGCCATCCTCTCCTCCCTCTTCCCTTCTCCAGGCTAGTAGGTGGACAGCTGTTGGAGACTGCTCTGTCCCTTGTAATCTTGTACTGGACACGAAGTTCAGGGAAGAGGAGATGAGACAGTTGGAGCCAGCTGTTTGGAAACATGACGACTGTGAGTGCTTGGACAAAGATTTAAAGAACTACTCTGTGGGGCAATGTATATTTGTGTGATGTAGATTCATTATGGTAAAAAAGCTTGAGAGTTTAATACTGCTTTAAATAACCCCATACACCTCAGATGTGCAGTAGGAGATTTTGCTTTCAAACTAAAATTAATGTGCTATAGAAAGAAATTTAGAGATTATTACTAATATATTAAAAAAAGCTCATATTGAAGGTATTGAGCCAATATTAATGCTATCTGTTCTTCACTGTCAAAAGGTGACAGAAGAGAAAATGTGATTGCTAATATGAAATGGGGCTTTCTTATGCTTAAAAGAAAATTGGGCTTGGATTCATTTTATCCTGCAAGAGAAAATTTAATAAATGGTAGTACAAGAAAACGCCTGTGGTTATCTCTCTTTCAATGCAACAGCTGGGACAATGATACCAGATCAGGTAGTTAAAAATGTGAACAGAAAAAAGACTTTTTACATTAGGCATTTAAAACTGTATCAAGCTTCAAAAAAGAAATTAACATTAACAAGGATAGCATACAATGATGTATCCAATATTACAGCCAAATATGATGATAATATATGAAACAAAAAAAGGCAAATGCAGTTGTGAAAACTGTGCAAAAGGACGGGCATGGAAATAACCAGCTGACTCAAAAACCCAACAACATGGTCAACATAGTCTCCACCTGCATCAAACTTTTTTCAAAAATGAATCCAGATGAAACAAACAACATTGCCCAGCTAAGAATTTCTTTACATTTGTGTCCAAGCAATTACAGTCATCATGTTTCCAAACAGCTGGCTTCAACTCTCTCAGCTCAGCTTCTCTGAATTTCCTGTCCAGTACAAGATCTCAAGGGACAGTGCAGACTCCAGCAACTGTTCATATACTAACTTGGAGAAGGGAGTAGGGGGAAGGGAAGTGCCTTGCTGTGGCTGCGTGTTTGTGGAGACACACACATCTTACTAGCACACACAAGGGTGGCCCCATAGGACCCTGCAAGGGAAAGGAGACACCCTAAAACATGATGCCAGGGCCAGTACTAAGGGGACCAGCTGATTCTTTAGGAAGCTTAAACCTTTAAACATCAAGAAGCAGAATCCATTGTAAGTGATTATAAATTACAGGAATCAAAGGAACATCATAGAGAAAAAAATAAATTTTGGGGAATTTATCAAAGCAGACAAAATCTGTAGCAGATGTGCACTGCAACCAATCAGCTTCTCTGTCTCATGTTCAAATCTTACCTGAGCAAACTGAAGAGAGATGCTGATGCTGGTTGCCATGGATAACTGCTCCACATTCTGCCTGCTCCAGTTTAGATCATGGTGGAAAATGGATGAGGCAGAGCACATGTTCAGACCAGAACACTGTAGTGCATAATGCATTGCATATAGTGTGGAACAGTTATATTTATTTCTGCATACCTGGCTGTATATTAAATTTTTTAATGTATAATATACAGCCAGGTATGCAGAATTAGATATAACTGTGCCACACTACAGGTGTGTGCTGGGCACAGGATGGCATAAAAAAAGTTATATTTGCCTGCTGTAATGCAATTACTAATTGCATTACAGCAGGCAAATATAACTTTTTTTTATGCCATCCTGTTTTTTATGCTGAACATGTGCTCTGCCTCATCCATGATTTGCCTCATCCAAATAGAATAGCAAGCAGTAGTGCATTTTTTTTAAATTTATAAACCTACAGCAGGCAAATATAACTTTTGAGGCCATCCTGTGCCCACCCCCAATCCTGTGCCCAGCCCCAGCAGTGCTGCTAACCTTCTCTTCCGTTGTCTCCGTCTGCTTCATCCCCTCGTGTCACAGCCTAGTCATCTGTCAATGCCGGCCTCTTCTCATGCTGATTGGCCGATTGGATGATTGACAGGCTTCCCCACCAATCACGAGTGAGGACAGAGGAATTGAAGGCGGAGTCTGGTTTCGGCCGTTCGCCCGTGGAGAAGGAGTTCGCGGCCATCTTGCATGAATGCAGACGCGGTCCTGTGTGCTGTGTGCGGCGGTGGAAGATGGCGGACACAGGTACTCGTTTTAGACATCAGAGCATTTGCACGAGTACGAGTACCCATGCAAATACTCGGTATCGCGGCCGATACCGATGCTTGTATCGGTATCGGTGCATCCCTAGTTTTGACTATATGTATGAAAATCATTTCACATATTTGTAAAAAAACATACATATCACAGAGTGTGTTATAAATCACGTGTGTCACATTCTGTGTTTGAGTTTTGATTTCATATATTTTTGTATGATATAGCATGGCACATATTTCCAAATTCATATTGTCTGTTTGCCTAAGATTCATTGCTTGCAGCAAGGTGTTAATATTGGCGCAAGATATATACGAGTTATGTATTTGATTACATACATACTGTGGCAATACCATGGTATAATGTGGCATCAAGGTCACCCAGGACCCCCAGCAAAAGGGGCTGAGCGGTTCCAGGAAAGTACTTTAATCAGGAAAGAGCTGGCTTTACAATACTTTCCGGGTTTTCTGGATTATAGTTGGGATTCTGGAGCCGGGAGATTTCTAAGTGAACTGGAGTTTTTTTTTTTTTTTTAAATATACAGTGTTTGTCTAGAGTTTTTCTTTATATATCTGTTATACCTTCAAAGCATGGTAGTCTTGGAAACTTAAAATACACATTCTAAAAACTTCAAAATCATTAATTTCAACCGCAGGACAAAACCACATGGGACAACAGTTTTTTATATATGAAAGTCAGTGAAAGACTAGTAAAATAAATGTACACAATATACAATGTACTACTTACTGGTAACGTTCCTGGCAAAGAAGCATCAAAAAATGACACTGTAGAGTTTGGTGGAGCAGCAAACTTAACTTGTGAACTTGAAAAAAGTTTGGAGGCAGAATTGATCTGCGCATGGATTTCAAGACCAACAACTCCTTCCCAGGGCAACAATCTGCAAGAAGAACCACGAGATGTGTGTTATTGTTAGCGTGGTTAGGAATCCATATGGCACCTGCCATTTCTGACTAGTTTTTAAAGTTGTTGGCTCCAGAGCTGTGACACATTAAAGCTGACCATTACCCATATCTTTAAAATAACAAACACACCTTTAGAAATATTTAGTAATGACAATCTACAGACAGATACTTCCAGATAATTGTATTCTTTCCATATCGCATTACTTCCCCAGTCTTCTGACAGTGGCAATGTTTACTAAGGGCAGAAAACTAGATCTCCTTATACTTCCTGAAAATCTGGCACGTGGCTAGACATGTGACCATGCACATCATCTCAGTGGAGGAAAATGCCTTTCCCTGAGATCTCATAAGATTACAGATGAGATTTCCTAGCAATGCTCTGCTGATGACAAGGCAATCCCAGTGTGCATTGCGTTGGCAAAGTGAAGTCATTTGCACTTTCAAAGCTGGAACTGAATGCTCTGCAAGTGTAAGTATTTCATAATCACAGCATTTTACACCTGACATGTCTATGTTATTATTAATCATCATACATAGAGGGATGCATTGGTAGAATTTGATTTTTTGAGCGTAAAAGGTCCGCTTTAATGAATAAGTGGGCCGCATAAGGTACAGCTCTACTAAAACAATGTTACTAAAGTAAAGGCAAACAACCCATTATAACAAATAAGTACACAGGTAGACATGTTCTTATATTAGGCTATATACTAGTGACACTAAACTCAGGAGTTAAATCTTAAAAATGCATCCAAGTACCTGAACTATTAACAAAAATGTATCACATATGTGTATCACTCAGCTGTAGATCTTCAAATCATCTCTGACAGGCACAGTTAATACAAATTAGTAAACTAAACATGAGATTGTAGTCCATCACAGGAGTGAGCTTGGAGCGGTGGCTACTTTGCAACACACACAGGGACCATGGGGAACAAAAGTAGCCACCCTCCAGAAGGAAGATACAATTTTGTTCATAGTGAAAGTGACATTAAAGGCAAAAATGTTTTTGCTGGTGGACACGTTGGTCCCCCAGCCAAAGAAGCACCAGGTCCAGGAGTACTGGCAGTAATTTATGAATAATTTATAATATAATTTCTTATTTTCTCTTACCTAACTGATTTGGGGGCAGCATTTTTTGGCACCCCCCTGGAAAGTGCCGCCCTGTAGTAGATACACCCCTGGCCTCAACACAACGTTGATGAAAGCACTTACCTTAAATTATGTCTCTTATCCTGATCATCTTCTTTCCTGCACTTATCTTGTGTCTCTCCTCGCGTCCCGGCCGAAAATGTGAACTGCGCATGCAGATCCTTTGCGGCCGCCCGAGCAGTTTCACACTTTCGGACGGGAGCGCGTGGGGTAGATACAGGTAAGTTTAAACCGCTGTTAAAGGGGGTTTTTAAAAAAGAAAAAACTTTTTGCATATATCTACTGCTTGCTAGCAGTAGATATATGCAAAAAAAGCTGAGGTTTTAGAAACCCTTTAAGGTACTTGAATGTATTTTTAAGATTTAACTCCTGTTAAATGTAATTACTGTGATCCATCCCCAAATTAAATTTTTCTGCCAAGATACAGAGGGACCGATAATGCTAGTGTGCTCTAAAACAGTGGTTCTCAACCTGGGTAACCTCAGGACCCACATTTGTCCTTGGTCATTAAGTTGCACTGCAATGGAAAATGAATGGCAACACAATGCACCTTCCACACTAGAACACGTAGTAGGTGCGATTGTGTTGTACAGTGCATTAATCACATGGGGCTGTGCAATAAACGCACTGTACTGGTGTAAACGGGCCTTCAAAAACATTGCCAGACGCACACAAACACAGACACAATCTTACACATTCACACATACACACTCCAAAAAAAATTCTATATATTTTTTTTAAGATACACCCAGACCCCCTACTTTATGAGAACTGGAGTGGAACCGCAGCTTGCTGTGCTGTGACGGAGCTCCATCCATATGTGCATTGTTTGTACAGCTCCCTTGCGTGCCCTGTAGAGGTGTCAAGAGCCAGAATGTGACATCAGTCCAGTGTAGGCACCTCTACAGGTCCCATGTGGGAGCTATAAGCAAAGCATTTATGGATGAAGCTCCCTTATGGCCATACTTTCAGCCCACTCCAGCTCAAGCTGACACGCAGGGCCAGGCATCATATTTTGAATGGCTGCTCAGTACGAGAACTGGCGGTGCTGCTCTAGGGGGAGGAGGACGAGTCTCTCGCCTAAAAAAGTGGAATGCATGTGGCGACCCATTGAACAAAGTGGGTCATTGACCCACTTTTGGGTCATGACCCACTGGTTGAGAACCACGGCTCAAAACCAGTTTTTTTTTTTTATGCAAAAAAGTAAACCATAACACAGAGCAATTTGACTATTTCAGACCCTGAATGTTTACTGCATTTACAATTATCCTTTTGATTATTGTTTTTCTCATTGAAAGACTGAGAATTAATAAAATTTCAGTCACTTGAATTATGCGGTCCTTGGTAGACTGGGTGCAAAATAACTGAAATTTGTAAATGAAAACAAAAGAGCATTGTGAACATCTCCACGGTCAGCAAACATGGGAAGAAATTAGATGCTCCCTGGCAAACTGAGATGATTGTTTTGCCAAAGATACAGTTAAAATATTATCACCAATTTAGGAAACAACCACCTCTCCGAAATAAGATAAGCAACACAAGCCTGGCCAAGCTAATCACTGGTTTTATCTGTTAGGATTTCAGTCAGAACACATTGCACAACTTGTGCTTCTATTCAGTAAAACTCTCTCAGGAGTCTCTTAAGATCTGACAGCATTCCAACTGCACTATTGTTTATTGATCTTTTAGTCATAAAGTACTTCAACTGACAGCAGATAAGCATCCAGAGAGCATTTCTAAGTCCTAAACTCCCCTATTTACTAGAACATCATATTTCACACTCCATGTTCATTCCTATCTAGCTACTCTGTACTAATCCCAGTCTATTCTAAATGATTTTATCACATTAAGCCTCTGTGACTCAGTGGGATTGGATCATCCATGGCCAGAAATACAGACTGACTGCTATTTCCTTTGTACTCACACTGACTTATCAAATGAGTCCACATCCGAACTATACATCTTCACAAGAGGGTAGATAATATGCAGGTGAAACATTGAATGAAATAATTGCCAAAACATTATAACCACTGAGAGGTGAAGTGAATGACACTGATTTTCTAGTTTCAATGGCACCTGGTAATGGGTGGCATATATTAGGCAGCAGGTGCACATTTTGTCCCTGTAGTTGATGTGTTGGAAGCAGAAAAAAATGTAGATTAAAAGGTGCCCATTCATACCACATCCAGATCTGATTGTTTCAGGACCCAAAATGCATCCTAATGTATCCCTATGCTTTTTCTGGCTTCTGTTCACAACAGTGCAGTCCGTTCCAGACCAGACCAATACTGCATGTCTCATTTTGTCTGGTCTTGAATGCCCTGGAACTGCAGTCAGGTTCACACCATTTTCCGACCAGATCTGGTCCAGAAAATAGGGTGAAACTGCTCTAAGGGCCCATTCACACCACATCCAGATTACCTCCAGACCAGAGCAGATTGTTTCCGGACCCAAAATGTATCCCAATGCTATTTCTGGCCTCTGTTCCCACCAGCGCAGTCTGTTCCGGACGAGGCCAGAAAATACTGCTAGTCCTATTTTGTCTGGTCTGGAATGCATCAAAAAGCATGGAACGCACCTGTAAGACCATTTTAAGCTAACAAAAAAAAAAATCGCAGCAAAATTGCAATGCACTATGTTCCAGGTCTGGTCCGGAAAATGGTGTGAACCCAGCCTAAGGTAAGATCGACATAAGAACTTCTGACCTGTATATGTGTTCTGAGCAGTGCCTCACAAGTAAATGAAGCCATGAAACTAGGCAACTTGCGTTACTGGAAGGTGAGGAGCATCCATATTCTCTCTGTATTTCCTTTAAAGTGAGATATAAAAGTGGGTCAAGCTCCACTTTTGTCTTGCGAGGGTTGTAAAGTACTTAAAGAAATGTACGATCTGCCCATCTTGGACAGGCAGATCGTACTTACGATCATTGCAAGCGCGCCCCCCGGGGGGGCGGGCTTGCGATGACTGCAATGAGGGGCGGGCTTGCAAGGACGGCAAACGGGCAGTGTGCGCGTGCGCACACCGGCCCGTTCGTCAGTTGTCGAACAAGCAGGCCACTAACTCGCCGAGAATCGTACGATTCCCGGCGGGTTTTTCAGCCTGCTTGTTCGATGGAAGACGTGCGACCGTACAGTAGAAACGGCCGCACGCCTTCCATACACTGTACGATTCTCGTACGATCGCGGGATTTCCCGCCATTCTCGTACGAGAATCGTACAGTGTATGGGCACCCTTACACTTCACTACTAACCCAACACTGTAATAAGCAGCCTGCTGGCCAACACTGAGCCGCAGAAGCCATGAAAGACTTGAGCCAGTACCTTACCCAGGGCAGCTGATCAGAATTCTCACACCAGAGCTCATCTCATCTCAGGTTTCTTTTACTATATGATCTGTTCTGTCCACCAGTAATCTACACTGAACACATAACAGCTAGGCCACCAGCACTATCAGAAGATCAACACTGCGGTCTGCATATTTCTCTCAGCAGGGTTTCCATTAGGCTCTGATTACGCTGAGTTGTGGTACTGCAATGGACAAAACTAGTGTGTTAGGGTGCTATTCATGGTATCCCAATGCACCTTGCCAGCACACCGCAATGTACAGATGTAAATCATCTGTTATTTGTAGTGTAGTGTGTTGACAAAGATTATGTAGATCAATGAAAACCTGTGTTGCGGTGCATAACACAATGCAGCTGAAATGTCAAACAGCTAGGTTCACACTTGGGGTGTGTTGTGGTAATAATGTGCATGTTGTGGTGCCATTTGTTTTGAGGCTCCAAAGCATATGCATTGCACTGCACCACAATGCACGATACTAAAGCACAATTAGAGCAATGTGGAGAGCTGCGCTGCTAAAAATAGCGCATATGTTTTTGGCTAGGTTGCAGCGCTTTGTTAGCCTATTCATTTGAGTCGGTTGCCCTAACACAAGCAATGTTTACACATGCGGTAATGTGTTTTTTTTTGTGTACTACCACAAAGGAGACCAGTGGAAAAGGGTGAACCTAGTCCTAAACAAAACCTACATTGTAAATAAGCAGCATAATATGCTTGCACATATCCTCACAGTGCCTTCCCTTCTCTCCAGTGCATTACTAGAGCCCCTAAAAAACAGAAATCTCCAGACCTAAAGCACACAAACATCCCCAGGACTGAACTCTGTCTCATTGTGAGGGTGGATATCCAGCATGTAATTATTGACTTGCATATTACTTTCAGGGGGCTCTAGTAGTGGGGAAGTAAGCTGTGTTGTAGGAGTAGGCACAGGTTTACTTTAGCATGCCTCTAAAACAGGGGTGCCCACAATTTTTTGTGTTGAGATCTACATTTGAAATGACAAGCTACACGAGATCTACCAAAAAAAATTAAAAAACCTCGCTCTCTCTCTCTCCTGGCTGTCTCACCTTGCTCTCTCTCCTGGCTCATCCTCCTGATTGTCTCTCCTGGCTGTCTCTCTTCGATCTCTCCCCTCTCTCTTTCCTGGTTGTCTCTCTCCTGGCTGTCTCTCCCCGCGCTCTCTCTTGGCTGTCTCTCCCCGCACTCTCTCCTGGCTGTCTCTCCCCGCGCTCTCTCCTGGCTGTCTCTCCCCGCGCTCTCTCCTGGCTCACCTTGCTGTATTTTGCAAACAGTGTAGTGCAACAGACTGTGTAAACTAATATTCTTTGATGTAATACATAGCACTTCAACCACCAGTATCCACCAGAAAGGTGTCAGGGAGCTTGGCTCAGCAGACTCAGGCTAATAGGTAATCATGTGTGCACAGCTAAATAAATATACCAAAATGGAATAAAGGGGCCACCATTCACACCCTTTGTGATCTACCAGCATCAGCTTTGAGAGCTACTGGTAGATCACGATCTACCTAATGGGCACCCCTGCTCTAAAGCAAGCTCACTTGTGCACTTTGTATATAACCCCAAGCCTGTCCCCGAACCTGCCCATTGTAGTACTGTGTAGCAAACCTAACCAATTTTTACCTTTCTGATCTAACCCGTGTTCATCTGTCTCCCTGCAGAGTTCACAGAAATACTTTATAATTCCTACTTCATAAACAATGACTCAGCATTGAGCGACAATTTTAAAATAATCAGCAATGTAGAAGGAGAGAGTTAGGTAAAACCACAAGCCAAATGCTGCTGCAACTTTCTAACGTTAGCCATGCTTGAAATTGGTTCATGAATCATACTAACAAAAAAAGTACTTTTAAAGTTGCTTTAAATAAGACATTTATTAATATTTACATATAAATATGGGAGATATATGAACTTACAATAAATATATTTAAAATTTGTTTTATTAAAGGGAAGAACTGCTAATTTGTAATGAGAGAAGTATGAGGGCTGTCACTGTGAGCCTTGTAAAAAATGCTCGCTTGCTGGCAGTGTCTGGCTTCAATACTTTTGAGACAAAGACACAAAATGTGCAAGCTGCCGAGTGTCAGAAAAGTGTCACAATGCCTTCTCTCTATACTTCACTTACCACTGATACTGCCCCTTGTGATATCACAAGGTAGTATTTGTGAGCCGCTGTGTGATGGTGCTGGTGGGCAGGGGGGTCAGAACACAGCCACAAAACAGAAGAATCCAATATGTCAGATTCTTCTCTAGTTTCAGTGCCTAAGGCAGAAGTTAAATTTGCCTTATGCTCAAAGAGCAAAATAGTAACTATATGATAAGCTGTATCACATTAATGTATACAGTGACACTTTATGTAGTTATGGTGGCAGGGTCTTTCTAAAGAACAACAGGGCTTTTTCATTTGCGGTTTACAAGATAAGTGTCAGGAGGTGTATGGAGGTGTATGCCGCCTTAGGTATTGTTGTATTTTCTTTAATATTTACACTTTCATTGAGGCCAGATAGTACAGCTCTCGCTATACATTCAGCACTGCGACAGGAGAGCTGCGGCTCTTATACACGGAAACTGAACTGCAGTGTTACTTGTCCACCCCTCCTCTCCCCTTCCCCATTCACAGAACACTTTGTTTACTGTAAACCATGCATAGAATACAAAGCGTTTTGTGAATACGCAAGGGGAGAGGAGGGGTGGTCAAATAACAAGGCTTCCCTGTATAGCAGCCACAGCTCTCCTGTTGAAGTGACGGAAGTACACTATATTGCCAAAAGTATTGGGACACCCCTCCAAATCATTGGATTCAGATGTTCCAATCACCTCCATGGCCACAGGTATATAAAATCCTGCACCTCGGCATGCAGACGCTTCTACAAACATTTGTGAAAGAATGGGTCGCTCTCAAGAGCTCAGTGAATTCAAGCGTGGTACCGTGATAGGTTTGCCAGGTTGTGGCAAAGGGTGGGCCAACTTAATATTGAACCCTACGGACTAAGACTGGGATGCCATTAAAGTTCATGTGCGTGTAAAGGCGTCCCAATACTTTGGCAATATAGTGTGCGACAAGAGCTGTGCTATCCAGCTTTGAAGAAAGTGTAAATATCCGGCCTCATTCAGATGGGCAATCTGAGGCAATAATTGCTGCACGTTAGGAGGTGGCTAAACCATTGCACGCAATTGCATTTTGTGCTGCACACACACTGGCTGATTAGCGGTCAGTCTGAGTACGGCCAGAAAGTCAGCAGAAAGGCCAACCATGGACTCAACATGTCTGCGTCCAAAGTCAGTCAAAGCCTCTATTAGAATGTAACTGCTCGGATGAGCGGTTACATGCGAACAGCAGCACCAGCCATTGATTTGTACAGATCCGATATATGAATGGGCCCTTAAAGAAAGTCTGTTTTTACACTGCAGATTTGAATAAAAATCTGTTCTTTAAATAACCCCGGGCAAATGAATCCTTAACCCTTTCAGTGGGGCTACCCCCGTATTGCAAGAGTTAAGTGCTCATTTTGTCTAGGGAGCAAAAATAAAAGAGTTATACTCAACTGAACCACGATCCTGGTTGCTAGACCAGTCCCTTCAGCCTTGCTCCAGCGGTCTATGG